ACCCGTTTGCACCGAAGTGGAGCTTGCCCATGATGGCTTCGAACTTTCCCGAGTATTGGCAGAGTGCTCGGATTTGTGTGCATGGTTGCATGAGTCATTTGCTCATTTTCTATGCACATGTCTATGCCTATGCAAGCACGAATTTCTTTCTGACTCAGGAACAGTATCGCTCCTCCACCAAAACCTGAGCCAGTTGCAGTCAGCACGCCAGGCCGCTGACGAGAGAACAGAACATGCTGTAAGCTAGCATAAGCTAGCGCAGGGGAAATGTGAGGTTGGCACGTTCAGAAGTTGAAGTGTCAGACCTTCTTTGCATCTTTGTTAGTTAGAAGTTGTTTTCTGTTGGTTGTATGATCCGGGACTGATGCAATGCTTGGTTACAATTTTGGAAGCAGGTTAGGAAGGACCCTCATATTGAGTTGCCGGGCAACGTGAGACCGCCTTGCTAAACGCATTGTGTGCTATGCAGTCTCCTGCATTTCCCTTTACGTTGGACCAACTTGTGTGCTGTTCGCATACGTCGGAGGCGGTGGCGCACACAGGGCTTCGTTAAGCGAAGAGTGGGGGGAAGATGAGGCAAGGATTCGCGGGCACGATTTTCTTTTCTGTGCTTGCAAAGAGCAACAGCTGAAAGGTCATTCCCCCAGGGTACAACTGGCTTCAGCGCAAGGCAGGGCTCGCATTGCATGATTGCCATAGCACGAGCAGAGTGATGTAGCCGCGCCAGAATTGCGTGATGCACACTGGCCAGACACGCGATGGACAGACAGTCTTCCCCTACTCATTGGCATCGCACAAAGCATTCTTCGAGTGGTCCGCTCAGTGTGATTCACCATGACGCGTCAGCAGCGAAACTGGTCTAGACAGAATTGGAACAAACAGAGTGGCGACGAGTACGGGCTGCCCTAGAAACAAAACGAAGAGTGTCACGCAACCAGTTCCAGTGTGTTCTCTGTAAAGGTTCATGTCGTTTCAGAGCACGGGCACAGCTTTTCACTCAGTGAAACGGTTCCAGCTCTTCTCGGGCCATTGTTTGATTTCTCAATGTCTACAGCACCATGGTTTGGCATGTTCATTTTTCTGCCTAGCGTGTGCTCTGCAAGCTGGCCCGTGTCGTTGTTCTAGACAGCAGGCAAGATGAGAATGCAACCTGCTGAGTTGTCGTGCTGTTGTCATTGTCACTGCTGCTGACAGTGTTTATACTCTTGCTGAGCTCTTAGTAAGTAGCCGTCGCCGTCATCGTCGCCGTGGTGGTGCTGGTGGTGGTAGAATTAGAAGTAGAAGAAGTAGAAGTAGGAGTAGGTGTAGGAGTAGAGGGGGAGGAGTAGGAGCAGTAACAGTAGTGGTAGCAGTGGCAGTGGCAGTAGCAGCAGCAGTAGCAGCAGCAGTAGCAGCAGCAGCAGTAGCAGCAGCAGCAGCAGTAGCAGTAGCAGTAGCAGTAGCAGTAGCAGTACCTGTAGCAGTAGGAGTAGGAGTAGTAGCATGAGTAGTAGTAGTAGTAGTAGCAGTAGCAGTAGCAGTAGCAGTAGCAGTTGTAGTAGTAGAAGTAGTAGCCATGCGCGCCTTCTGGCGCCTGGTGTTTTCCTTGGTTTTCAAGCGTTTCGGGGAGGTTTTGGGTGGGTGGGTGGGGGGGGTTAATAACGACATGGTCGACCGCAATGGTCTTCTTGACCATTGAAACTCTGGCAGTGCCGGTACTTTGGAGCGTTTGACGGAGGCTTTTGTTCGACTGGGCATGGTGGGGGTGTCAATCACGACATGCTTCACCACAATCTTTGCCGGTTTCGCAATCCACACGGTGTGGCTCGATTTTCGTGTGTTCTCGAAGGATTTTCTTCCACTGGTGCGGGGGGGTCGTGAGGGCGGGGGGGCCCGCACAGTGGATCGATTTTCGTGTGTTGGCAGTAGCAGTGGCAGTAGCAGTAGCACTAGTCACTAGCAGTAGCAGTACACTAATAGTGCAGCAGCGGCAGTAGCAGTCGCGCTAGCACTGGCAGTAGCAATACCAGTACCAGTACCAGTACCAGTGGCACTAATAGTAGCACTACTACAGGTCTACTACAAATAAAGCTGCCTTGAACAAAAGTGCCAGCAACAGCGGAAGACGTGAACTGCTGCAATGAAGGCACGAGTCGTTCTGCAGCAGTGTAGTAGGCCTAGCAGTAGTAGCACTACTGGCCGTAGTCCTCACTCCTACTAGTGGCTTCTAATAACATGCACGTCGTTGTCATTCTCAACATCATCATCATCATCATCATCATCAGTAGCATCACTAGCATCATCATCGTCATCCAAAAGTGTAATTATTAGTAAATCAAAGTAGTTATTTGAAAACGTAACTGAACTGCAATTTTCACAAAACCCTGTAAACACCGGTACTTTTGACCCTCTAACACCTTCAAACTACCAGGCGCCAGGAGGCGCGCAAGCCAAGTAGTAGAGTGGTAGTAGTAGTAGAAGTAGTAGTAGTAGTAGTAGTAGTAGTAGTAGTAGTAGTAGTAGTAGTAGTAGTAGTAGTAGTAGTAGTAGTAGTAGTAGTAGTATCGTTGTGGCAGTAGCAGTAGCAGCAGCGGCAACAGAAGCAGCAGTCACACCAAGCCTGCCACAAGGTCTTACAACGATCCTGCTCTACGGGCCAAGGCCACAGAGGTCGTCAAGTGCTCAGATTTTTCGGATGTGTTGTATAGTCAGACTATGAAGATGCATTGAGATGGTTGAATTGGTTTAAGATTTTCCAAGATAGCTTAAGATATGTTAAGATTTGATTCGCCCATGGTGTTCTTCTCATCACGGGTTTCGGGTGGAAGGCTGCAGTCGTGAAATGGATTCTCGTGTAGGGGTCGCGTATCCTTTTTGTCTTTTTTTGTGTCAAAATGTCTTTTTTATGTCTCAGTTGACGTCTCGGCTTACACATTCCAATGTCTCGGCCATGTCTCGGCCATGTCACGGCCATGGTGAGGCGTCTACGACACAGGACATCTGTTCAGGCCTAGGCCAAATTAGAAACCCGCTCACGCATGGCATTGTCTCGGCCATGTCACGGTATGTCTCAGTTGACGTCTCGGCTTACACATTCCAATGTCTCGGCCATGTCACGGCCATGGTGAGGCGTCTACGACACAGGACATCTGTTCAGGCCTAGGCCAAATTAGAAACCCGCTCAAACCCTAAACCCTAAACCGTAAAGCTTCAACTCTAAAACCTTAAACCCTCCTAAGCCGTTAACCCTAATCCCTAAACCCTGGCGAACCCCGAAAAAGGGTCTCGGCCGGGTCTCGGCGGAGTCTCGGCCAAGCGTAAATCCTGAACCCTAAGCCCTATCCTAAACCCTTAACCCTAAACCCCTAAACGTTACAACCAAGTCCTTAACCCTAAACCACAACCCTAAACCCTAAACCCTACCCTAAACCCTAAACCCTAAACCCTAAACCCTAAACCAGAACCTTAAACCCTAAACTCCCAAACCCTAACCCTAAACCCTAGAGCACAACCCAAAACCCTAAACCCTAAACCCTCGTAAGCCCTTAACCCTAATCCCTAAACCCTGGCGAACCCTAAATCCGGGTCTCGGCCGGGTCACGGCCGAGTCTCGGCCAAGCGTAAATCCTGAACCCTAAGCCCTATGTCCTAAACCCTTAACCCTAAACCCCTAAACCTTACAACCAAGTCCTTAACCCTAAACCAGAACCCTAAACCCTAAACCTTAGACCCAAAGCCCAAACCCTAAACCACAACCCTAAACCCTAAACCTTACACCCAAACCCTAAACCCTAAACCGTAAAACTTCAACTCTAAAACCTTAAACCCTCCTAAGCCGTTAACCCTAATCCCTAAACCCTGGCGAACCCCGAAAAAGGGTCTCGGCCGGGTCTCGGCGGAGTCTCGGCCAAGCGTAAATCCTGAACCCTAAGCCCTATCCTAAACCCTTAACCCTAAACCCCTAAACGTTACAACCAAGTCCTTAACCCTAAACCACAACCCTAAACCCTAAACCCTACAACCAAACCCTAAACCCTAAACCAGAACCTTAAACCCTAAACCGTACTCCCAAACCCTAACCCTAAACCCTAGAGCACAACCCAAAACCCTAAACCCTAAACCCTCGTAAGCCCTTAACCCTAATCCCTAAACCCTGACGAACCCTAAATCCGGGTCTCGGCCGGGTCTCGGCGGAGTCTCGGCCAAGCGTAAATCCTGAACCCTAGGCCCTATGTCCTAAACCCTTAACCCTAAACCCCTAAACCTTACAACCAAGTCCTTAACCCTAAACCAGAACCCTAAACTGTAAACCTTAGACCCAAAGCCCAAACCCTAAACCACAACCCTAAACCCTAAACCTTACACCCAAACCCTAAGCCCTAAACCGTAAAGCTTCAAGTCTGAAACCCTAAACCCTCCTAAGCCCTTAACCCTAATCCCTAAACCTGAACCGTAAAGCTTAGAACCACAGCCGAAACATGTGTATGTAGAACAACAGACAAAAAAGACATTTTGACACACAAAAAAAAGACATTTTTGACCCCAGACTCCTCGTGTAGCTCAGTACGTCAGGTACGGTAGTACTCGTTCATGTTGGCCCAAAGTTGTTCGGATCGATTGTTTTTCCGACATTGTGCAAGCATCTTGTGATGATGTCGGTCTTTGAGCAAGGCACCCCTGCGAATGACTGAGTGGGACTGACGTGTTTCACCTGTCTCGATCTGCCTAGGACGAGATTTGCTGATGTTTCCTCGTGCGCTTGTGTCGTGGTGAATTTAAACACATGGAGTATCGTGCTTGCCTTGACTTTCAATCGTTTATTCAGCTGCATTGGGACTGTCAGCTGAATCCTGCATTCCCGCAGCCCTTTCGTGTCGAGTGCAAACGAACCGAACCGACTGGCAGCTCTCTTACTTGATACCGTAACTAGCATCCCTTGGCTTTCGAGCCTCCATCCAGCCCTTTGTCTCATAGGTAAGTCTGTTGCAACGAGAGAGCTGCCAATCTAGATCTTCTCTGCCATGACTGCTGCAGCATGGCTGGCCGTGGCTGCAACCATTGCACATCGATGATGCATTTGATCATCTGTTTTCTTGCTTCGGTCTAGAGTCTACCGACAGATCTCTCTCTCTCTCTCTCTAGACCCCGTATGGAAGAGTGCATGTGGTCTTGCTTGAGGCATGTGTGCAATGTGCGCAAGAGGGGGCCTTCTGTTCGGAGGAGGCAGTAAACGGAGCTACCCATTGGCGACCGGTCGCTCCGGCATGTGGTCTGGCATGATGCAACTAAAGCAGGCAGCAGAGAGCTTCAGAAATAATGATGTTGGGGTGCCAGGAAAGGGAAGTATCCCATGCCAGTGATGCAGACACGGTTTGGCTCCTGCCGCTTGCCAGCCACTGTGAGCGGCAAGATATGTAAACAAGTCAAGTTCAGAGCGGTTGTGGTGCTTCACTGGTCGAATATGGCATAGTGTGGAGGCAAACAGGATTCGATGTGGGCGACGAGGCAGCGCTGAAGCAGAATTGATTTGTTTGGCAACCCTAAACCCTAAGCCCTATTTACCCTAGTTGAGATACTGGTGCCTCGAGCCCGTTCAACTTTGACATACTCTTTTCACGTGTCCTACAGCAACAAGGCTAGAGAAGGGAGCCAAGGAGATGTAGTTGTTTTCTGATGTCTTTGATGTAGACGCAGAAGAAAGCAGTGGAGGAACGAAGGATTTACAGAGTGTGTTACTTGCGGACTTGGAGCATTTTGTGTTCGGGGCGGCCGATGGACATTCATGCAGGAGAGAGCTTTGCAGCTGAGTTCCTCAACCCTAAACCCCAAACCCTAAACCCTAAGCTCCAAACATCATTCACCCGAAGCTCAAAGGGGCACAGAGCTCGTCATCTGCAAACCAATGCCATCGCCGGGCGTTTTCGTACTCTGCTTTTACCCCGCTGCACATCGGGGAAGAAGGGTCTTTGAGATCACCATGCTTCGCGCCTGTCACAAGATATCCCTTAACCGTCATCAAGTCTCTGTCGTCACTGTACAGTGTACTAGTCGTTGGAGTTCTGCAGCGCAGCACGGACCGGTGCATCATCACGCCACAGGCTTGAACCTGTAGACGTTTCCGAAGTCTTCAATCGTCTTTGTCTTGGCTTTGTCGCCATGTGTTGAACCATCAAACGGAGTTGCTTCCCAGCATCTCTCTCCATTCGAGTTTTTGGTCGGAGCTGGAGTGCTTAAAGTTCTCCAAAGTGGACTGCCCCCCCAGAGCGCTCACCTGTGCTGCTGTGCAATCTTTTGGCAGTCCCGGGCATAGGAAACTCCAGTTGCCGTCGCCTGGGTATGAGCTTTGCAGGAACTTGGTTTGAAGAAACGTCCTTCACACTTGCAAAGGGTCGCTGCTGTAATGGTCCACGCTCACTGTGATTTACGCACGTGCGAGGCAGCTCCGGGACATGGCCTCAGATGTCACAGGGTAGTTGAAGATGCTGTGCGATTGGCTCAACTTTGAGGCTTTCGTGACCAACTCTCGATGCCTGCTGACTCGGCGGTGTCTCGGCTGCGAGCACGCACGAGAAGAAGTTAGAGTCAACCAGGGGAGACATAGATGGGCCGACTCGGTGTGTTCTTCAACTGTTTCTTATGGGGGCTGCCGCACCTATCCAAGGAAGCGATAGCGGATCAGATGTTTCCGGACTTTCTTTAGTTTCTGTCGTCACCTCGACAGGTTGCATCGGGTGCTAACGTCCACGCAAAGAGTGTCGAGGCTACTGTAAGTTTGGGATTGATTCACAGGCAAGGCAGTAGGTGCAATGACAAGCTACAGTGTTTGATATTTTTTGATACTTCAGTATATCATCGTATAACATAGTATAGTATCGTATCGTATAGTAGAGTGCAGTGGAGTATAGTATAGTACTACATTATCGTCTGTGGGATTAGATTAGTGATACGGTTGATGATATAAATCCTGCATGACCCATAATCAGGAATATGCCCTAATTCCCATAGTTTAGGGCCATAAAGGTAATGAAGGATTTATATCATCAACCGTAGTATCATAAAGAATCATAGGTGTCGAACCGCAGCAAGCATAATTCTTGTATGATTTGTCTCAGTTGGAGTTGCGACATCCGCCCGAGAGTTCAAATAAACACAGGGATCTGCAATGAATTCGTGGGCTCTGCAAGCAAGGGCAAGATTCATGTGAGTTTGGGTTAAGGGAGCTGGTTTTAAAGTTGAGGGTCCACTTAGTCTGCTTGGAGGATCACGGGACTTAGGAACTAGAGTAGAGTTGTAAAATAAGGTAACTATAGTAACTATACTTAGCATCACTCATAGCCCCACTACGGTACTCATAACGCTACTTTTTTGGTCCCATGCATCCCTTATAAATGCCTTCTAGATCCCTTTAAGGATACCTTTTAGTTAGTCCCATGATCCTCCAATCGAGGCCCTGAGTCTAAGGCCACGGCGGAGGCCGGTCCCAGACCAGCCGATGCAGCCTCCATGGGTGCAGAGAGGTGCGTCACATTCTGGGGGTCTTGCTAAGGGATGTGCTTTAAGTTACCATGATAGGGATCTATGGATTTAAGTTACCATAATAAGGATCTATAGGTTTAAGTTACCATAATAATGGTCTATAGATCTAAAGTTACCGTAATAGGGATCTATAGTAAATACTATGAGCATTTTGATCGCTAGGCACGCGCCCGGCGCAACATCTGAGAACGCACCGTTTCTCCTTCACGCCCGCAGTTTCGTGGAAGCTTCCAGATCCATTCCTCCTCCTCCTAATCGCAGATACGAGCAGATGTTGGAGGCCGAAACAGAGCCGGCTTCCTGGGTTCTTGATCTGTTTCTGCAGCCCTTCAAGCTGCAAAAGCCAGAGGCCGCGACGGCACATTAACGAGCGCAGGATGGAGGCAAGTTCTGACGGATCACAGTTCAGAGCGTCTGCCGGACAGAGCGTTCGCAGGTGGTGATGACACCCCGGCTTCGAGAGTTGCAGGTGATGGGGGGTTGTCTACTTGCTGCCGTTTGCTATTGCCGTATATGGCCACCTGCAGCAAGTAAGGTGCATCTAAGGTGCGTGTCTTGTTTTTTTATGAACGCCAGGTTGAAAACGAAGCACTACGTCTGCAATTGATGTCGAGCCCCGACAGAAGATGCTGGTGGCAGAAGCGTCAGGCCGACTGGCGGTACCATGTGAGCATGCGTCTGCCTCTATCCCAGGAAAGAGGTCAGCCAGAGAAGCTCCAGTAAAGCCTCGCCGCTTGCAAAAAACGGCTTCTGAATTTGATGCGGTGAGCCCCGGCATCTGCCATAGACACACTTTTCGTCTCTGAGGTTTAATGATTGGTGCCTGGCGAATTCCGTGGCCCAACCGAAATGCTGCATGCAAAGTTCTTCTTTTGTCATCCTTCGCAAGTATTCTCCGTTACGTCAGGATGTGATTGTGGGCTTCTCCTGCTTTGTGATCACATGTGCCCCCTGAATCGCACAGAGCGAAGATCGTGGCATTTCATTCTACCTGCGTTCTCCCAGCCGAGGTCATAGTGAGCCTGTGTATCCCGTGCGGCATGTCTCCGCTGCAGCTCTGTTTGGGCGCTATGCAGGCTGTCCTGCCTGCCGTGTGTGTCTCAATTCTTACATCCGGATGCCCCGAATAATTCCGCCAAATCTCCGACAATACATACATATATATATATGTATATATATATATATATAGATACAACTTTGTGTATACATAGTATATACATATGATACATATGATACATATGATATATATATATATATATATATATGATACATATAATATATATATATATATATATATATGTACATACATATGTATATGTATGATGTCTACATACATATATACAGATACAGATACAAAAACATGTATACCTAGATACCAACATTTTGTTTATGTATATATATATATATACACCCATATATATATATATATGTATGTATATGTATATATGTATATATTTATTGTATATATATTGTGTATATATTTCTACCTCTCTACTCTCTCTCTCTCTCTATATATATATCTATCTAAATATATATATATATATACATATATATATATATATGTATGGAATAGCAGGTTCATATATCACACATTGCGACAGGGGGCGGCTCCCAGCGGCGAAGTGAGCACAAAGCTTTGAGATCTGAAACCGCGTGGCACAAATCAGGAGCTCAGGGAGCAGACTTCGGAATGTGCCGAGCAGAGTTTAGGGTCTTAGGGTTTTAGGGATTGAAGGTTTAGGGTTTTAGGTTCTAGGATCTAGGGTTGAATGTTTTAGGGTTTAAGACTTAGGGTTTAGGATTTATGATGTAAGGTTAGGGTTTGCCGTAGAGTGGCGCATAAGCGGACATATCTTGCGACAGTGTAAGTTCGAGTGCATCGTAGTATGACGATTGGCCGTTGGATCCTGACTATGGATGGATTTTTTTCCTACCCAGGCCGTCTAAGGCGGCCAAACCACCCAAACTTATTCGTTTTAGGGTTTAGCGCCTAAGCTCGTTGCACGGTTTGAGGTCCTTGAGTTCTGCTCGCTGGCCCGCCCCAGCAAAAGGTGTAGGGCATGACTTCAAAAAGGGAGCAGTACTGGTCCACGGGAGAACGTGTTCCGGTACCGGGTGCGACGTTCGTGCTACGGTCGGCATGGCTGTGGAGAGGCGGGCGAGCGTATTGGGTCGCTCTGCAGGTCGAGGGGCATAGGCGCCCACCCACAAAGGTGGGCGGCCTGGGCCTTGAGTTTTATCTTTTTTGGGTTTAGGGTTTTCGGGTTTGGGGTTTAGGGGTTTCGGGTTTGGGGTTTCAGGGTTTATGAATTTAGGGTTTTAGGATAGGTTTTAGGGTTTAAGGTTTAAGGTTTAAGGGTTTAGGGCATGTCCATACCATGGTGTTACGTAAGGGGGCACCTGGAAGCAAGTTTGGTACTATTCCTATATACTCCCTAAGAAACAATTTTCGAAAAGGAGCCAGTTTCAGTATAGACTGTATATGCTGCTACATCGTTCTGGAAGCATGTGCGGGTGTGAAGTAAAGCTTGGTCCGCTAGAGCTTCTTACATTTTCCAGCTGCTCGAACCGGCATCAGTCGGATTGTGTTGACTGTGTAAAAAGGCTGTCGATCTGAGTAACTAGGCAGGAGACGGCTCACGCAAGTAGACGCTGTGTTGCATCTGTGTCTGCACTCATTGCCACTAGCATGGATGCATGGCGAGTCCTGGAAGAGGGCGCAGCTTATCTGAGTTGCGCGTCTTGCTGTGGCATATGCATATACGCTGCTTCCGGGAGTTTCAACTTTGCAGCCGTTCTTGCTTGGTCGCCGGCAAGGTCTCTGGAGCTTCGACATCCATTCTTCTTTCAAGTCTCGTCGCCATTCTGTGGTGGAAGGCCCCCGGGGCCCGGTGCCGAAAGGGTTGGGCCGGTCTTTCGTCTCCTCAGGCAGATGTGAAGAGGTGCCTTGCGGTGTCCGTGCCTGGGAAAGGCCCAGCCCAGTCGGTGCGATCCTCTTGAGCTGTGCTCAGGCTTCAGTCTTTCGTGCGCGGCCTTTTTGACATCGATTCAGAGAAGGCGGAGGGACCCAGACTCACCAGAAGTGAGGGGATGGCCCTTGAAGTCGGATAGCAGGAAGCGGCGGTTCAGAGCAAGCTGCAAGATGTCCATCTGCCTCTGGCGCGACAGCTGCGGGCTTCTCAGTCGCGACAGCTCTTGAGCCGGAGGAATGGTCGAAGCACCCAAGGACTGCAGCCGTCCTGGGCAGCTTTACGCTTATTGCTGTGAAGCTTGCCAGCATTCGGCACAGAGAGCTGGCCCGATAAAGTTTCAGGTGACACCAAGCTAGGGGTCGGGGGTATGGGCCACTTGCATCTCATTCTATTCTAACCGGCGCTAGTTCGCAACGTGGGTGCAAGAATGGATGGCCCTTGCGGCCAAATTTTTATCGCAGTTCAGGTCGATGGAAAGCTTGCAGATGCGAAGGGCTGCTGGCAATCGCCGACATGTCCTCTAGGAAGGTTCTTTGTGGTTGCGCACCAACGCCACGGTGGTGACGTCCTGGCGAAGACATCTGCGCACAAGGGATGTTGGGCGCGGCTTCCATTCACGATCGGAGCACGATGTCTGTGCCTTCTTTTCTCAGTTGTCATCCGACATCCCGCACACGGGTGGGAATTCATATCTGATAAACCCGAGTCCGGTAGAACCTCGACCGCTGTGATGTTGCCTCGTCGCTCACTTCCACACCATGCAATTGCAGTAAAACCAATTTGCTGAAGATGGTAGGAATCGCGAGATGACGAACTTCGCTAGAGTTTCACAGGCCCAACGCTAGAACTGAACGAAAAAGCTGCTTGCCGTCGTGGTCGCGCAAGCCTGCGTCCTCGGCGCTGTTTCAGGGGCATCTTTCCCCAGAAGTGTTTTCGGTGTTCGGATGTCGTGGCAGCGGCACTGAGGCTGATGGATGTGTTTTCCGGACTACGCAGGCGGGAGTCAGCCGTGACGATGTAACGTGCTCCCTCGAAGCTGGCAGGAGCAGCTCGGTTCAGTTGCTCCAAGACTACATCGTGTTTGGAGCTACGTTCGTCTTCGCCGGCTTTGCGAACAAGTGGACGATGAATCTTCCACTACTGCACAAGATGATACTTGGATGCACAGCTAGGCATTTCTGGACTTCGATTTGTAGCTGCGTTCGCCGGCGAAAGGATCGCATTTCAAGTTTGCCTGGGAGCTCTTCACACAATACTGTCTGATTCAGCATCGATGATCATGATGTCCTGCCCTTAACGAACTTGGTTCAAGGAATCAACAACATTGGTCTTGAGTCTTCGGTACAGGATGCCACTCAATGCGATGCTTCGGCTCAGTGCATCGTCGATGCTTCTTTCAGAACGCCGAATTCTCAGCATGCCCTCGTGGTGCACAGCGCGCAAAAGCTGGCGCAATTCCATTGAGGATTTGCAGTCATCACCAATGCTGCCGCCAGCATGGTGCAGCTCATCAGGATCTTGCCTCCGAGCTGCATAAAGCCTATGTGTCAATCCCTTCTCGAAGCTCTCTGTGAGCCTTCGATGTCAGGTATCGACAAGACGAGCTTGTCACTCTGCCTACCACTCACCAGTTGACCCAGGGCCAAGCGTGGCAATTTCTCCTGCGAAGCTTACACCCAGGTCACGACAGGAGAACTGGCTGCCCAGCGTTGTCATTCTGGAGCTAGGCTGTCCTGTATATAAGCTTCTGAGACACGGACATCGGCGACCCATCTTCGTCTGGAAGGCACCAGTCTGATGTCCTTGATCCCAATCGTGGTGCTGAAGTCGAGCTTTGCTGAGCAGCTGTCGAGCCCTCCGGTGGAAGTGAGGTGCCAAGGTTCCACAAGCGCATGGCTAGTATATGGGTGGTTGTCAATATTATGATCCCTTGTTGGGTCCTTATTATAATACGGCACCTAATATTTAGGCTACCCAAAAAGGGGCAATATTTTTGACAACCACCCATATAGGTCCCACGACTCCAGCACCCAAGCACACGCAGCCTGGCTCCTGACCCAGGACACACGCCAGTTCTTCGAAGAGCAATCCGCCGCCAGACGAATGCTCGCAGTCCTCTGCGACGCCCAGGCCCCTCTCGAGCTGTGGGAGTTTACGGAAATTAGAGGTACCAAGTAGCTTACTTTGGGGGTCCTTGTAACAAGGATCCCACTATTTAGAGTACTATATTAGGGTCCCCGATTTTCGGGAACTCCCATATTATATAGAAGCATATAGACCCCATAGGACTACATTAGCGTCCCCTATTTTCGGGAACTCTCATATAGAAGCATATAGACCCCAAAGGACTATCTTGGGGTCCCCTATTTTCGGGAACTCCCATGTGAGCCCTCGGAAGCCGACCCTGCGTTTCTGACAGGTCCTGCTCGGGCCAGATCTGAAGATCATCTCCCACGACCGAGGCGCCCTCTTTTTTGGGCTTAGGGTTTAAGGGTTTAGGGCGACCGAGGCGCCCAAAGGAGCGAAACGACAGAAACTTTCTGAGAGGAAAAGAAGGGAAGTTTGTGTGGGGTGTGAGTGTCCGAAAATAGGGGATCCTAATATAGTACCTTAAATAGTAGGATCCTTATTAAAAGGACCCCAAAACACGGTACCGCTGATTTTCGGAAACTCCCAAGTGAGTTCTCACACCTTCTAGGCTTGGCTCAGCTGCTGATGAGCAGCTGCTCGCCACTCGAAGGCTCCAACAGAGAGCGCCGTGTTTTGAACATTTCTTCTCTTTGCTCAGCGGCTTGTCAGGACGGGCCTTTGTGGATTTTATGGCGCCTCGTGACATCCACCGCTTCGAAGCATTCATCGAATCCGCTGTCAAGGAACCCGCATGGGTTGTGGACACATGTTGCGAGCAGAGCAGCATCCAGTCGGCCAAAACTCAATTCCTGCAGACACAGGTTGCTGCTGCCACAGGCCTGATTTTTGTATGACATTCCCGGAAAGGATCTTGCTCCGTTCCAATCATGTCTGCAGAGGTCTGGATTCCAGCAAAGCTGTGCCACGAAGGCACTCCCAAAGTCTGACCTGGTTTCAGTTCCAGAGATGGAGTCAAAGATTCCCAAGCCTCGTCACGAAACTCCTGCAGGCCTTATGTGCCACCTCCT